CATAGCCTGATTTCCAAGACTATTATAGTGACCCTTCAGATGTTCTAGAAGTTCCAGGTTTTTCAATGTAGGCAAATCTGACCTCTGACATGACAATGGATTTATCAAGAAAAATGGACACAAGGAGCCCAAGTCATAAAATCTTAGAAGTATGCATTTTCTGTAACTTCTGACAATGTTCTAGTCCCATTTTCTCTTCTATACACTGTGGCAAGGAGTGATTTGTTTCCAACTATCTACCCTTTATTTAAGCTACTCTAACCTTCCAACAAGTCTCTCAGTGTCAAAATTCAAAATATAGTGAGATACCATCCCACTTCAGTAAGAATGGACTGTGAGATCCCATCTCACAAAAGGATGAATTCTGAGACCGAGGGTGCTGTTCAGTGGTAGAGTGAATGCTCACTATTCAAGAATCCTGGATTTGATCTCCAGTGCCCCCCTAACATACACAAATTAATAATAAAAATGTGCTGATGAGAATGTATAGAAATGGGAACACATTATTTACTTAAGCCATTATGTAAAAGAGTTCCTCAAAAAACTAATAGTAGAACTATCATATCATACATCAATCAAAGGAAATAAAATCAATATGTCAAAGAGACTTCTGCCCTTCCACATATATTGAGCATTTTCATCACACCCAAGAAATGGAAACAACCCAAGTGGCCATCAAATGGTGAATGCTTTTCTTTAAGGGGTATGAGTACATAGTAAAAAACAGATCAGTCACTTTAAAAGAATGACATACTGACATTTGACACCATATGGATGGAATTGAACATAATTGTAATAAATCAAATAATCTAGGCACAGAAAGCAAGTACTGCATGATCTTACCCATATGTAGAATATTTTTTGGTCTTTTTGAGACAGTATCTCTCTGTAGCCCCAGCTGGCCTGGAACTCACTATGTAAATCAGGCTGGCCTTGAACTCACAGCAATCCTCCTGCCTCTGCCTCCAAGTGCTGGGTTTAAAGGCGTGCGCCACTACGCCCGACTGTCATATGTAGAATATTTTTTAAAGCCTTTATCCCACTGAAGTTGGAGTAGACTGGGGATTACCAGAGGCTTTGGGAAGGGAGGCGTGGAGAAAGTTTGATCAATGGACACGGGAGCAAGAAGTCTATGTGGGTACTGCACCGCAGGGCTAATATAAACAGCAATAATGTGCTACATATTCCTTAATTGCTCAAGGAAAGAATTTTGAGGGCTTTAACTATAAAGAAATGATAAATATTTTAGGAGGTAGTTATGTTTAATCTGATTTAAACATTACTAAAGTATGCTTGTATCATCATATCACATGGTATCCTGTAATATGTATAATTTTAATTTTTATTCAATTTCTGCTAATTTCATACATCTTAACCATATTTAGACCCCCTCATATATCTGTACCCCCAAAGTCACCCACTGGATTTCATGCATTCCATCATATATGCAAGGGCCTATCAAGCCAAGTTTGTTCCCAAACATCCCTTGGTATGAATCCATCCACTGGAGCCTGGTCAACCTAATATCACTCCCTTAAAAAACAACTCTCTCTCACCCAGTGGTCATCATTGGTTTCCAATAGTTCCTCAGCTAACATTGGAGCGTCTTACCCATTTCCATACTTTTATGTTGGGTTTTTTGTCTAGCTTGAGCGTGCATGGGTCTTGGGCATGCTGTACATTCTGAAATAAATTTAAAGTTTTTAAAATTCAGCATAATCTTCCTCTCTCACCTTTGTATTCTTAAACCATCAGTTTCAACCATGTAACTAACAGAGAAAGCAGAAGAAATTGGACAAGCGATTCTAAATGTTCCCCGTTGTCTCCAGTAACAAACATTTGAGGCCAGTATTTGTTTTGTTCTGTTTTTATCTCAAGATGCATATTTTGTATGTAATATAGTAGGTGCCACGTGCTTTGTAAATATCTCAAAAGTTCTAAAATATTAACATTTTATCCATTTTTTAAATTTCCTTTATTATTATTGCATGTATGTATGATGTGCGTGGGAATGCACATGCCACTGTGCATGTGTGGAGGTTAGAGGACAGCCTTGTGGAGCCAGTCCTTTCCTTCCACCTTTGTGCACATTCCAGAGATCAAATTCAGGTAGGGAGGCCTGCATGACAAGCGCCTTTACCCAGTGAGCCATTTTGCTGGCCCTATTCTTGTTTATGGATGAGGGAACTAAGAATCAGAGACATGAAGCAACGTCCCCAAATTCATACAGCTAAGACCTTGGTATTTGCACCCAGACAAACTGGCTCGCCCGTCAAAGCACTTACACTGACCAAACCTCAACTCTACTACCCTTCTCATATGTGTCTTTCTTCTGATTACATAAGAAGGCATGAAGCATGAAGCCCACCATCCAGTAATTAGCACTTATCAATCACTAAATACTAGTAGTTCGTTTAATTATACATAATACACCGAAGAGCTGGATGTTTAACTCATGCTTTTTCATTAAACTCTCTTAGTGACAGTTACAAAGCCTATTACATCAGCCCCCACAGAATTAACTCTAACTAGTTACTGACCAAGCTGACGTCATTGGTTGTTTCCATGAGGATAAAGCTTATATAATTCAGGTAGAGTAACAGCAGCACCAGGGCTACAGTCCCTTCTGTTTTCTCTATGACTCCCCTTCAAAACTAAGAAGTGAATATTCCATCTGAAATCCATGGTACCACTGCCACCTAAAGAGGATTCTGCTGCAAAGGACACCAAATGCTCCAGTCAGTCGGGTTTGTGAGTAATCTGGTGAAGTTCTGTCCTAAAGTGTTCTGATAGAGTGGCCTGCCTACGAGAGCAACTGCTCGGAGCTCTCAGCCCATACTCATCACCACAGCCTGAAAACGAGAAAAAAAGTGCACCGTGCTTATGCTACATGTTCAGTTAACTGCAAACCATCCAAGAAAATCTTACTGAAGAGTTATACGACTCAACATATTGGGGGGCAAAAAGACAACAGTATACCTCTGAAAGTATGTTTTTTGCAGAATCTTGAAATAGTATCTCTCTGCTGTGATTTATCAGCTAACTGCAAACAACTCCCCCAGGACCTTCTGGGATCCTCACCCTCCTTATTGAAAAAAAAAGTACACACGTTTATCTGACTATCCAACTTCAAGTAAATTCTTTCTCATAGTCTACAGGGCTAAAGATCCAGGTGTATTTGAAGGAACTGAGAGCTCCAGAAACCACTCAGGGTGAGTTTTATGGGCATTTTAACTTCTTATTTTACTTAGTTATCACCACACACACATTTTCCTGAAATGTATAGTGTGTGCACCATATTTTTGACAAGAGCTTTTTCATGCAGTTGGGTACAATTACATTTTCCAAAGCATTTTCCTGCAGTTCTGCAGAAGCAGGAAATCAATGCTGATAGTAGAAACAGAATGTTTAAGATGTATATCCATGTCCTATGAGGAGGAGAGGGAAGTCTTCATTTCAGAACAGCTCCTTAGTCTGCAAACTCCTTCATGTGTAGTTGAAATTTCCCATATTGAATTTAGTATCAACCCCTGGCTCTTCAACTTTCAATTTTGCAACAGTGAAAATGGATGTAAGTCATCAATTAAACACCTCTTGAAATAGTTTTCTGTGGCAAAAGATGTAAATTAATGTTCTAAGAAAATTATAATCTGTAAAGTTAATCCATAATTACATTAAGATGTAACTGTAAATATTAATCAAAACTCTAAACCAATTACTTTTTAAGTGTTAGCTAAAAGGCTTCTGCCCAAAAATATCTTGCTCACCAGATGTCTATTTCAGTAGTTCCTTGATTTGATACTACTGTTTATCTTTCCTCTGACATAAAGCTAAACTAAATGTTATTTGTGCAAGACCAGCATGACGAAGTACACATAATTTAAGAAACTGGAGAGAGCAGAAGAGGAGTTTCCTCTAAGCAGTGTGGGTGTGATCCATTTGTCTGGCAGTCTGGTCCAAGGAATAACATAAAGCCAGTAGTGTAAGATGATGGGGCCCAAGGAACAAGGAGAGTCAGGCTCCTCCATGAGCTGCCACTGAAAGGCTATGTACAAAGAAGACATGAAGGAGTAAAGCGCATTGCCAACTGTGCAGCAGGTAAAATGCTGCTGCCCTCCGAAAGATGCATCAAGGCACCATGGCAAAGCCACCAGGGCTGCGGTGATGCAGGCTTGTGAAAAGTGCAGTCAACAGGACAATAAAAAAAGCCCAGATTTGGAAACCTTGGACAAACTACTTATTTAGAGTGGTGAGAGCTTTAATAACCTCTGTAAAAATCTGTAACATGAGTTGGGCATGATGGCACACACCTGTAATCCCAGTACTCAGGAGGCGGAGGCAGGAGGACCAAGAAATCAAGGTTGGGGCTGGAGAGCTGGCTCAGCGGTTAAGAACACTGGCTGTTCTTGCAGAAGACCCAGGTTTGAATCCCAGCACCCACACGGCAGCTAACAACTGTCTGTAACTCCAGGTCCAGGGGATCCGACAGCCTCTTCTGACCTCTGTGGGCATTGCACAATATGGGTACACTTACCCATGCAAGCATAACATTCATACACATAAAATAAAAATAATAATAAAAATATTTTAAAAAATAAAATTAAAATTAAAGAAAAAGAAATCAACGTCATCCTCAGCCACATGGCAAGTTTGAGTCCAACCTTGACAATCTGAGACGCCATTTCGAAAAACTAAAAATAAAAACTCTATGGCCTAAATCCCAGCAGTGGTTGATACATAGTTACAGTAAGGGAGAAATAGCCTATTTGGTCTCTCCACCTCCCTCTTCAAGGTAGCCCTCAAATTCTTTGTGAATCAAGATTCACTATGGCATTAGTCCAAAGGTATGGACTTAGCAAATAAGGCCGTTTAAAAGAAGCAGAAGGCTGGGCTTGCAGCTCTGAGGTAGAGCAATCACTTATTACGTGTAAGTTACTCAAGATATTTGGCCCCAAGTTCTACATATTGATAAAGCCATAAATGCCCCCCAAAAATTAAGTGACCAACTGATTGGTGCAGCTATCAAAGGTTATATTTGCTTCCTTTTTCCCCAGTTTTTGACAAGAGCACCCAACTAACAAAATGGAGGAAGTCATCCTAGTCAACCAAACTCCAGTGACGTATTTTCGGCTTACAGGTCTATCTGTCAATCAGAAGGCACAGATGGCTGCGTTTTCCATGTTCCTTGTTTTCTACGTCCTGACCCTGACTGGCAACATCCTCATCATCATTACCATCATCTATGACCCCCGGCTCCATACACCTATGTATTTCTTCCTCAGCAATCTCTCCTTCATTGATGTCTGCCATTCCACTGTCACTGTCCCCAAGATGCTGAGAGACACATTATCAGAGGAGAAGCTTATCTCATTCGATGCCTGTGTGACCCAGATGTTCTTCCTGCACCTCTTTGCCTGCACAGAGATCTTCCTCCTCACCGTTATGGCCTATGATCGCTATGTGGCCATTTGTAAACCCTTACAGTACATGACAGTGATGAGCTGGAGGGTGTGTGTGCTGCTGGCGGTGGCCCTGTGGACAGGGGGCACCATCCACTCCATATCCTTGACCTCACTCACCATCAAGCTGCCCTACTGTGGTCCTGATGAGATTGACAACTTCTTCTGTGATGTCCCTCAGGTGATCAGGCTGGCCTGCACTGATACCCGTATCACTGAGATTCTCATTGTCTCCAACAGTGGGCTGATCTCCGTGGTCTGTTTTGTGGTCCTCGTGGTGTCCTACACTGTCATCCTGGTGAGTCTGAGGCAGCAGATCTCTGATGGCAAACGGAAAGCCCTGTCCACCTGTGCAGCCCACCTCACCGTAGTCACACTGTTCCTGGGACACTGTATCTTCATCTACTCGCGCCCATCCACCAGCCTCCCAGAGGACAAGGTAGTGTCTGTGTTTTTCACTGCTGTAACCCCTTTGCTGAACCCCATCATCTACACCCTTAGGAACGAAGACATGAAGAATGCCTTCAACAAGTTGATGGGGAGGAAGGAGAGGAAAGGAAAATGAAATGTCTAAGCCTTTGGAAGCACGCTGCTCCAAATCAAAGAAGCAGTTATATACCAGGCTTACTAGATTATGACTTGCAAAATTTTCCTCCAGCCCAATACCTAACAGCCACAGCAATCACTATGATTAGTAATACCCTCCACATTCTAGAAAATTATTGTAGGCACTGGGCATTTACTTAATTCTCTCCAAAGCAGTAAATATTTGTATTATGTTTATCTAACTATGAGGAAACTAAAGCTCATATAGGACAAACAGAAAGCCAAAAGTCACCCTCCTACAAAATGATGCAGACAGGAATGTAGCCCAGTGCTAGGGCATGCAGGAGGCCCTGGGTTCAACCCTCGACTTCACAGAAAACTCACAAGTAAAACCAAGTATATCAACATGATATTGCTTTAAGATCTGGGAAAGAGCACCCACTTTAATTCATTACCTCATTCTTGTCTCCTGCTTTTCTATTTACCAGGGTCTAAACAAAACTGATTTCTAAGCAACGCTCACTACATTACTCACTCAGATGTTTGTCTAAACAGCTTATCAAATATGTGTAAATTCAAGTACATTTGCTTATGACTTGTGATGAAGAAAGACTTTGGACCACTGAAGTTATTGATATTTACATATTCTTTAAAATTCATAAAAATCTACCATCAGAGCAGTGAAAGAGGATGTTTTATTCATCATTCATTTCACAAATATTTGCTCCACATTTAATTTGTGCTAGATACCAGACATATAGTTAAATAAAACAAATATATAGGCTCTCCTACATGAAGTATATGGTCTGTAAAAATAGAAATCAAAAATGGGAATAAATACATTTAATTATAGATGCAGCAAATGCTGTAGAACAGAGCGAGAGCAGCAACGGCATACACAGTGGTGCGGTCTAGTGTGAGTGGCAGAGGAGAACCTCTCTGAGGAGGGCAGATCCAAGCTGAGATGCGAAACACGAATGGAGGAACCATGAAAACACGAATGGAGGAACCATGAAAGGAGTGGTGAGCGCTCCAGGTGGGGGAAACAGCAGCTACAAAGGCCTGTGTTGGGCAAGAACATGACTTGTTCCAAGAAGTGACAGGGACTGTTCTTACAGTCTAGATACTAAGGCAGACTTGCAGGGAAGTGGCATTAGAGGGATGAAAAAAAAATCTGCCTGTGTTCTCTCAAGTTTAGAGTCTTCCATACAATAAGAAGCTGCCAGAATTGTGTGAACAGACAAATGACATTTTTGTTTGGAAAAATAATTTGTTGCTGCTGCTGTTGTTATTTTGAAATAGGAGCTTGTATAGTCCAGGCTGGCCTTAAACTCCTGAATTTTCCTACCTCCAAATCCCAGGCATTGGAATTACAGATAAGTGCCATCATGCCTGGCTTATATTATTTATTATGTGGAGAATTAATCCAATTGAGCATTTATTACTAAACCCTTAGTAGTCACCTAATATTGCTCCAAGACCTGGGAGAAAATACAAACTTGAATAAAGCACAGTCTACATCTAACCCCTTGAATTTATTTGTGGTGGCCCACATCGCAACGCCGAGTAGTGTGCTGAATGGAATCAGCAAACAAGAGAATAGTGCCTCATGTGCCTGGCCAGGCATAGTGGCACAAAACTGAAACCCCAGTGCTTGGGAGGTAGAGGCAGGAGGATCAGAACTCAGGATCAGCTTCAGCTACGCAGTGAGTTTAAGGATAGCCTGAGCTACATGAGAGCCTGTCCAAAAAAAATAGTGTCTCAGGTATATATTTACATAGGAGCATGGCATGTTGGGAGTTGGACATTGACTATGACTCCATCTGTGAGAAAGTCATACTGAAATTGAGCTGTGATCTCCTAAACCATTCATGAGAAAGTCACACTACAGTTCAGTGGGGCTCTCCCAAGCCATCCATGAAAACATAATCAATCAATCTCTGGGCCCAAAGAGCTATCTCTGCTTTCAATGGTATTCCTGCCAGCAAATCTGTCAGGGAGTAATTCACAGTTCACCAACCACACTGTGGTTATCAGGGCACTGGGAGGGCTTTTCAGATCGCACATGTTAACTTCCAGCAGGCAAATCTAATAATTAACACAGTGGTTTCTTTCCCCAAAGATAAACTCTCTGGATAGCATTAAAACCACGTTTATTGTTCTGGGTGGTGTAATAACTGAGCCAAACCTGAGAATTATAGGATTAAAATAAATGCCCTTTTATGATAGGCAACGACAGACAATAAGGATAATAGCTTTTTTTTTGGTCTTTTTGAGACAGGGTCTCCCTATGGCCCCAGCTGTCCTGGAACTCACTATGTAGACCAGGCTGGCCTTGAACTCACAGAGATCGGCCTGCCTCTGCCTCCCAAGTGTTGGGATCAAAGGCGTGCGCCACGATGCCTGGCAAGATAATAGCTTTTTAAAGAGGGCAGAGGCAGGCGCCTTGTGCTGAAATCGGCCACCCAGAGAAACTGTGGTCACAAAGCAGCACAGTGCTACCTAGAAACTAATAAAATCAAGCGATGACTACCCGTTTTCAGTGGCATTAATCTTTACAACTTTCTGGAAAGGTAAAATGAAACATTTATTCTCCATTTAACAGAAATTATTTCAGATTCAGGGAAAAGATAAAATGAGTTTATGGGGCTGGAGAGATGGCTCAGCAGTTAAGAGCACTGATTGTTCTTGCAGAGGACCAGGGTTCGATTCCCAACACCCACATGGCGGCTATGAACCGTTCTCAACTCCAGTTCCAGGGGAATCCGAAGCCCTCTTCTGACCTCGGGAGCATTGCACTACACGGGTGTACTCATGTACAAGCAGGCAACTACACTCATACACATAATATAAAAATAATAAAATATTTTTAAAAAATAAAATGAGTTTAATAGATTGTTGAATAAATGGCATAAACTGATGTGTCTTGACTTTTTGTTTTCTTAGGTTTTTTTTTTTTTGTCTTTTTGAGACAGGGTCTCCCTGTAGCCCCAGGTGTCCTGGATTCACCATGGAGACCAGGCTGGCCTCGAACTCACAGAGATCTGCCTGCCTCTGACTCCCGAGTGCTGGGATTAAAGGCGGGCGCCACCACGCCTGGCTTGTTTCCTTGTTTTTTGAGGCAGGGTTTCACGTAGCTCAGGTTACCCTCAAATTCACTATACAGTTGAAGCTGGCCTTGAATTCATGATCCCCTTGCCTTAACCTCCCAAGAACTGGGTTTACAAGCCTGTACCATCTCGCACAGCTCAAAATACCTTGGCTCTTGTTCAGCTGCTTTTTTTCAACCATTGAATTTCTCAGGTAACAACATTCTATGTAATAGAATAAGTAATATTGCTGTAATGTAAATAAGCAATTAAAAGATTAGAAACATTTCTATATAAAAGAGGCAGATGAAAGCTGGGTGTGGTGGCACACAGCTTTAATCCCAACACTCAGGAGGCAGTGACAGGCGGATCTCTGTGAGATTGAGCCTGGTCTACATAGCAAGTTCCAGACCAGCCATGGCTACAGAGAGACCCTGTCTCAAAAAGACAAAAAAAAAAATCCCTCATGTAACAGAGGGTCAGGAACACAAAAGGTCACAAGTGGCCAAAACATAAAGATTAAGATTCTATAGAATGCTGGTCCTTGGACATGGCTCCTGTATTAAACTTCACCCACCCAAGACTCAGGGAACATCACAGAAGAGGGGGTAGAAAGATTGTAAGAGCCAGGGAGGAGGTGCATGACCATGTGGAAAAAGTCCTACAAGCTCTTGGGAACCTGCTCATGTGATCCTATAGCAGTGGTGTCAGCATACACAAGTCCTATGCAAACTCAGGCAGACAAAAACCCAGCATAGAACTGGGGAAATGAGCAGCAGACCCCAATCTTAGCTGAAGAAATATTGCCAAGTGATTACTTCTAGGTGAGGAAGAGCTGATCTTCCTAAAACAAGGGACTCTAGATAGGCTGACTTGCGCTGGGGAACGTCTGGGGACACTGACTTGATACACTGGTACTTAACATGGATGACAGAGTGTATGGGTTCCAGTGGGCAGCTATGGGAGGGTGCAGTGGGGATGGGAATATAAAGATGATTAAGAGTGTTTGAGATATTCTTAATGAAATACACAAAAGTTCAATAAAAACAAATTTTTTTCAGCATTGTCCAAACTATATCATTCTTCAATGGAAAACACCATTATTTTTCAAATGAAGGAATCACATTTTTAAAACCCTATATATAAGAAACAGTCCCCAAGAATATTCAAGCAGCAGTCAGAGACGGAAAAATGTTTCAACAGCCCAGTTCTCTTCAAAATGTGTGACAGAATACAATCCAATTCACTGGCTACACAATTCATAGAATTTTTCAGTGTTTTCTTGAGATGCAGAACTTCACTGTTGCAATGTTTTCAAGTGACCACTCAAATGCTACTTGGCTAAAAAAACAGGCCACTGGTAGACTCAGTTGATTGCTGGAAAGCTCACTCCCAAGAAAAGAAATTTGAAGGCTGGGCTGTAAGCCTCACAACTCATCCTTCTGCAAGTCATCCAGCTCCACATCACTGAGGTCAATGTCGTCCTCCACAGGAAGCTCACCATCCCTGCCGTCCCTGGGTTCTCTGGCAATGATGGGAGAAAAGGTCTCGCCCCCTACAGGTGCTGTGGAGCCATGCCCGAAGGACAGTTCCCTGAGAAATTCATTAATGCCTTGCTCACTGAAGGACACTTTGAGAAGAGCAAACTTCATCTTTCGTGCATTGATGGGCTGCCATGGCAGGGAACCCAAACTCCCCAATCCCAAGTGCATTCTCAAGTTCATACTGGGCTCCAGCTTCTGCCCACAGCCACCCCCACATTTTCTTTTTATATTTGTCTGCCGTCTCAGAAGAACTTCCAAATAAGAATTTCTGCCCGCAGCTCCAGTGTCCAGGATGTGGGGCCGCACGGCCACCACACAGAGCTGGTGCGCCTCACAGGTCTTCTGGGCGATGTCTTCCTTGATTATCTCAAGCACCTCTGGAGGCGGGGCATTATCAGAAAACAAATCAAGGGCCCGTGATACT